CGTCAACGTCAGCGCCGACTGCGACGGCACTCGAGGGCATTGCACTTTTAAGTGTTTTGTTTTGGATGCTCGACGCACTGGGGGCGGGTAGGGTAGGGTATGGTAGAACAGGGTCCATGTGGCATGAGGCATGTGGCACAGGTGGACACAAATGACGGAGCTGGAAAGGAGTGGCGTCTCCGAATCGCGTTGCACTTTGCAGTGCGCCCCCTTCCAGCTGTTCCAGCTGCGCCTCTGTTTGTTTTCGATGGTTCTTCTGCCATGAGTGGACAGAGACCCAACGGGGCGGGCTAATTAGGCCCTCTTGTCATTCGGGCTAAGTGTATGCAACTATGTTGCTTGCCACATGCAGAAGGCGCGCCGTGCCACTTGGCTACAGGAAAGGCTGTCGAAAGCGAGTTTTCTTCGCTGATCCATTAAAGCCCTTCGAAAGTAGGCTCAAAGCAGATCCAGTGCTCTTTGATAAAAGTTCTTTAAGATGTACATTGTACAAATTCACTATATGAACTATCACTATGTACACATTATAGTAGAAGTACAAACCGGTGTGCTCTGTGCTCTTAGGCTAGAGTCACTCTCCTGCTCTCCTTCTGTCCCACTGTCCCACTGTCCCACTGTCCTACTGTCCTACTGTCCTCTATGATAAGTGGAGGGAATTCAGAGATCGAGCGGATTCATAGTCCAAGACTTACAGACTTAATTTGGTTTCTTGCATGAATTTATGGAATGCATACCTACATATACATATACATATATATAAACATTATGTAAACCAGTTTACTGTTCGATTAGTTTCACTATTAGCTGCATCCTGGAAGTGGTACATATTGTTATTGTTGCTGCTTGTTTAAGAGTTTAATCACCATTCCACTCGATTATTATTATGTATGTTGAATAGGAAATTAGTTTGATTTCCAGCTATGACCACATTGATTGATATTATCTGATCAAGTGTTTCTGAGATGAAAAGAAAGTCTGATATTGGTACGATATGGTAATTAGATTTACAGTAAACCCCTGTGGAATGAAATCGAATGGAATGCCTTGGAATGGAACCGAACCGATCCGATCCCATTTCCCTCTCCCACTCGCTTTCTGCGGCACTTCTTGAGTCTTCTTTGGTTACTAGTCCGTTAGTCTTGGTCGCCAGCTGTGTGCCAGAGTGGCATTGTTTTTCCGCAGAGTTTTCCTATTGGTGGCTCCATTCCATAAATTGCATTCCATAATATACATTGTATATGCCAGGGAGCCAGCCCTGTTGCCGTCGCCGTCGCCATCGCCGCCGCAGCCGCAGTCGCAGCCGCAGAACGAGGAGCATTGAACTTCTGGCTGTCCGGAAGCCCGACAGAGACTCCCAACCTCTACTGCTGCCCCCAGCTCATCTCCACCCTCTCGTTCGTTGTGCCTCTACCAGGTTTGCCTCCGTCTCTGTCTCTCATATGGTAAAGAGTCAGCGTAAAGCTTTGCGCCCGTTTTGGTCACTTCCTTTGACTCTCTCTCTACCGCTCGCTAGGTGGATGCGACGCTTGCTCGTGGAAATGGGAAGCGCTTGACTGAAATCGTTTCCCAAAAGGGTTTTCTTTCCGTTAATGAGTGGAGTAGCGTTAAAACGGATTGAAATCCTCAGCTTTGAGGCTCCGCAATTAATTGATCGGCTTAGCAAGATCAAAGCTGCTAGCTCCTTTCTTTCATACATACATACATACATATGTATGTCTAGTCACACATACACGCATGTACACATGTACATATGTGTGTATGTACATACATATGTACTCCAACTAAAACGGATCGTAGCGTGAGTTGCCTGCGATCATGGCCTCTTCCGCCTTTTCCGCAAAGAGCTCTCACTGTTTCGAATATTTCGACCGAGACCAAATAATTAAAACCTAATAAAACCCATTTCCATATACATACATACATATGTACATACGAGTATGTATGTACTTTTGTCCCGATATTATTATCTAAATTCAATGAAACTCAGCTTATTTAACCAATTGCCATATCATTTTATTTATTTTTATCTGAAATTTGTATCTATTAAAAAAGGCAAAAGATCACTACTGGGTATTTTTACAGTCAGTCATGTTTTCCTTTACCATTTTCTCCTATGAGAAAGGTGATTCTTGATAAAAGTTGTTCCTCTTAAAAGTGATTTATGGGAGAGTGTGAGCCCATATTCTTCGTTTCTCATGGCTATTGTCCCTCTTCGCACTCTTGCTTAAGCGGGGCAAAATCAAAATTCAGTCTGTCAGTTAACCAACTCAACCAGTTAATCCATTCCCTGTTCGCTGGCCTGGGAAAACAGGAGGTGGCCGTTGAATGGGGTGGATTCTTGATCGAATCCGACTCCTGGATATGGCTTATACAAACGGATATACAATACATACGTAGGGTGCTACATGAGTAGCTGGCCCAACTTTCAAAAAATAACTTTGGTGGTGGAAAATGGTTTTCGGTTGGCATTTGGCATTTGGCATTTGGCATTTGGCTCGCTTTAACCCATACCGTGGATTACTGTTTTGTTTCGGACTCAAATTCATCTCTTGTTGACCGATTCCTAAATTGTGTGATCATGGTAAATCCTTTCCAACGTCCAAGGATGCCTCAACCGCACGGTGACAAGACAGCACCAGTAAAAGTGCGAGTTTAGTGCGAGTCCTGCTAAGGCACGAAACTTGTATAGCAGCCCTCGCATATGTACGCTTACACGGATAGGTGGACGGGGGTAGGGTGTGCGTAATGCGTGTGTGCTCCTGTCGCTTTCGCTTTCGCTGTCCCTGTCACTCTTTTCCCGTTGCTACACTGTGGCAAGCGATATATTGGATCGGCTGGGTCCCAGTCGCGTGTCGAATAACGGTGGTGCTGCATCTGCTGCTGCTCCTGAGGGTTGGAATGCAAAAAGCGGACAGTAGCGAGCCGAACTGAACTGAACTCTGGAGAGGGAGAGGGAGCTGGAGAGGGATAGAATATCGTCTGATTCATGGACGTTTACTATTTATTTGCTACCTAAAGTTCCTTGCTGCTGTGGCACTTACGAGTATTTGGTTTGGCTCCAGAATGGCTTGGCGTCCATGGCTTGCACGGCTTGCACGGCTTGCACGGCTTACTCCACCACGCAATGGAGAATTTTCCAGCAATAAAATGTACTTTTAATTGCGCCCAAAAGTCAACAATAACAGCAATTCTCGAATCAGAAATGCTGGTCGAAGGCGCATTGATGGCTCCGTTCCGATTCGTTCCATTCCTGGTTCCGTTTTGCTTAATTTAGGCAATTTATTGGAATTTAATGCGCTTCGATGAGGGTCTCCGGTTAGGAGGGGTGGGTAGGGAAGGGAAGGAAGGGAAGGTGGGTAGGATATCAGCCTCGCCAGTAGAAAGACAGGGATAGAGAGAGATGTGCTTGCACATCGTTCCAATCGTTACAAGAAAGCTTTAATTAAAGCTCAAAGCGATCATGTATGGGTGCTGTGTGGGTTGGGCATGAAGGGGGGGGGGGGGGGGGGGGGGGGTGGAGGGAGAGGGTGTGCTAATTAATTTTCTCTGAATGAACACTCACACAAACACACAGAGAGACGAGTGACTCAAACACTCACTCACTCACAGCACCCCCCTCCCCTCCCCTCCCCTACCGTTTACCGTTCCCACACCGCAACTCAAAGTGGAATTTGGAGGGAGAAGCAAGATCAAGGGAATGAGAAGGAAATAAGGCTAAAAAAAACCATCAAGCGATGCCCAATGAATCAGCCGCAAAAGGCGCCGCACAAACGTCAACAGCAGGCACAGAACGACGCTCGTAAAAAGAAACGGATACTACAGAAGAGGGACATGTGAAGGGGAAAGGGCAAGGAAGGTCCGTCGAAAGCAAGGACCACTGCATTGCAGTCGAATCAAGGGGCCAAGGCCAAGGCCAACAAAAATCCAAGTTCCTGGTCGGAGTCCGAAGCTTTATACATATATACTTCTGCAGATGCATCCTAGGAGGGACCTACTATAGTGTAACTACACTGGGTTTAAATTTTGAAAACCCCTTGTAACAGTGCGATATCCCAGGAGTCTGGATACAATAGTCTGGACAGGCGGAGGGACGTTACACACATACAAAAAGAGTGCAAAATACAAATTTATCCACGACCACGAAAATGCCTTCTGCGGTACGGGAAGGAGGACACTTGAAAGGTTCCTTGACCTTGCACTTGGCCATGGTCTTCGCTCTTCGCAAGTACGTCCCCACTCTGACAAAGAGCTTAGAGCTCTTTTTTAGAGCTCTCATTCATTATTTGCTTGGCAATTCAAGGGACATTAAGGGCATACAGCTCTGGGGTTCATACGATCCCCTGGATACCCCGGTTTTCTTCGATTCTTCAGTTTCTTGTGGTATATGCATGGATATATGCATATAAATATTTATGTACACTCTTATGTACGTACATATGTATGTATTTTCCTTTCCACCCCTCTCCTGAGTATGCGCTGGTGGCGCGGATACTTTACTTAATTAATTAATTAGCATAAATTATAAATTAAAATGCGCTCGTTCAGCGATTCGTATCGGATAGGAGTCAAGGGAGGACTAGGAGCCTGCACTGCAACCACCGCGCGCGCATGATATGAATAATGGTGGTGCCTGATGGCCCGATGGCCGCCTGGAGGCCCGGTGGCCCGGTGGCCATGGTGGTGGATGGTGTTGCATGGAAGTGTCAGCTGTGTCTCGCTCAATCCACCCCTCCCACATCTGGGTGCATTAATCAACTAGGGACGGACTTCCATTTGTACGGACGTCCCTCGTTGAGGATTCTACCTCTGCAGCGACCTACCCTTGCACCCTTGCACCCTTGCATCCTTGCAGCAGATGGACTCCGTACCGAAATATATACTTTGTTTGTACTCTTGATCAGCAGTTTCTACTGTACATACATACGTATAACGTAAAGATGTACGTATGCTCACACGTACATACGCAGAGTGCTTTCAGAGGCGAAAACTACTGTTTCATATAGGTTTTTTTAATTCGTTGTTATACTTTATCTATATCCAAATAAACGCTTACACAATTAGCAAAAAAAAAAAAACAGATCATCTTATTATATAATATGCACGATTATATGGAAAATATATGTACTATATTCTGCCGTGCGGAGGGGTCGCACTTCCATTAATTCCAGTAGACGTTTAATGGATGTGCATACCCTTGCAGATCAATCGCGCACTACAGTCGATCCGGAGATTATGTACGATGCAAACTAGTCCTTCATATTCCCATCACTATCATACATCCTATATATGTACATATATATATGTATCTGAATATATACCCGTGTGTAGGGTGTAGGATACATGTCGTAGATCCAGCTCGCAGTCTGGCAAAAAGGATTTCCTGTTTGTGTAAATAAATCGGATTAATTGATGCTGGGGTAACCCCCGGCTATACACACTTCGAGGCACCCGTCGAGCCTAGCCCGCGACTGAAAGCGATATGGGAGCGTAGTCCCATAAGTGATCCCTTATGGGACCCTAGACGGTACATTGGTATCTCTTGTATGCTCAAATCTCCACCACGTAGCGACTGCTGCCCGATGGGCTAATGGAGTAGTAGCTATTCTCTGCAACAGATACAGATTCAGATACAAGATTCAGGGAGGATTGCTTCGGCTCACCTTCGTCGCTGTCGAAGCTGTAAAAGTTTTCATCGTCGCGGGTCATGGATCGTCGGCTGCGTCGTGCCTGCTGTCTCTGTTGCTGCTGCTGCTGCTGCTGCTGCTGTTGCTGCTGGGGAGCAGGCAGCGTGAAAGGGGGAGCTCCAGTGGCCGCCGAGCTGCGGCGCCTGCTGGGGTAGGGATAGGCCAGGGGCGACCCGTACTCCGAGCGGCTGCAGTTGGAGTTTTGGCGATCCAAAGACAGTTCCATGGTCAGGAGCTCCTCCTCCTCCTTCTCCCTCCTCCTGTGGCTGTTGTTGTTGTTGTTGTTGTTGTTGCTCGGCTGCGTGGTAACGATCTCTGGTATGACTACTGGTCGATTGGTGGGAGTAATGGGAGATGCTGCCTCCTCCTTCTGTCCATTATCCTCCTCCTCCGCTGCATCATCCTGATCCTCGTCCCAGTTGAAACTGGCTGAGGTGGCGGTCAGCTCGTACTCCTCGCTGTGGAGCCGTCGTGGACAGAGGCGAGGCCGGCGGCCGCCCTCGAATCGGGAGATCAGCTTGTTCACCTTACCAATGTCGCCGGGGAGCACCTGTTCGTTGTAGGTGAGCCGCAGAGAGCTGGTCTTGACCAGCGGCTTGGCCGGGCGCGTCATGGAGGCACGGCTCCTCTGCGGGAGGGACGAAACCGCTGGGAGCGACGCGGGAACAGCAGGAGAAGCAGCGCGATTGGGAGGAATGGTCATGCTCAGGGGCGGGGGCTTGCTGGTGGGCAGCGGCGGAGGCACTGCATCGTAGATGGGCGCTGGTGGCGGAGTAAAGATTCTGCGCTGCGGCGGACGCCGTTTTGGAAGCGGCGGGGGTGGAGGCGAGGCGGACGGGGGACGCTCCAGAGCACGCCTCTCCATTTCCTCCTCCTCCACCGCATCCTTCGCCTCCTCCTGCTCCTGCTCTTGCTCGTCCTCCCGCTCCTGGGCCATCAGGCTCTCTCTGCTGTTGCCGATCTTTGGGGAGGTCTGAATCCGTATTCTTGTGACCCTGGAGCTGCTATCGTCCGCCTCCTCGCCGCTCGTATCGCAGCTGCTCCCGGCACTGATCCTCAGAATGGGGGCGTTGCGGAGCGCCTCATCGAAGTCGGCGAACGCGGCCCCCGAGGCCTCGAAGATATCAATGCTCTTAGGCTTGCACAGGGGCCGGGGACCAGGCCAGCATTCAGCCTCTTCCGCCCCTCCCGGCTGCTGCTCCGTCGGTTCGTTGAGCAGCCACTGGGTGGTAGTGCCGGTTGGGGTCGGGGTCGGGGTCGGGGTTGGCGTCGGGCTCCGGACAAGGGCCGGCGATGATGCCTTCGAGGTCTTTGTGGCTACGGCGATGATCAGCGTGGACTCGCAGGAGTCGTCGGTGTGCTCCTGGTGGATGAGCACTCGGGGGTAGTCCTCGTCGGGGATCTCCTCCAGCGAATCGCTGCTCCAGGCCGCGAAGGAGCGTCCTCCGTTTGGGCATCCCCCCTTTGCCGCCTCCGCCTGTAGCTCAGCCAGCGTCGCCATTTGTCGAGCAGCGTGGGCGGACGCAGTTCCTGGTAGGGGGTGCTCCATCTGTGTCTCTTCCTCTTCGTCTTCATCCCCATCCTCGCTGTCATCCTCCTGCTGCCCAAATGCCTCCGCAGCACAGACATCGTGTCCGCTGTCCTGGCTGCCACGCTCCTCTTCGTCCTCGTCGCTATCGCTGTGATGGTAAGTGGCAGCCAGCTCCTCATCGTCGTCAATAAAGACGGGCTCATGCCCGACAGTGTTCGGCTTGGACTGCCCCCCGACTGTCTCCGAGGGGGAGGAGGCTGCCCCTCCCTGGCGCGGAAAAAACTTGAGCTGATGCATTTTCTCGTTGAGCTTCGTGAGGGTTCGCTCCAGTTGGACTCCAATGGCCATTCCGGTCGCTGCTCCCACTCCTGCTCCTGCCGCCGCACCTGCTCCCCCTTTGGGGCTCTCCTGCGATTTGGTTGCTGCGGTCTTGAAGCTCTTGCGCCAGCGCTCCTGCAGCTGCTCCGTGGAGGCAAATCGACTGAGGCGGGCTCTCAGATTGCCAGAGGACTTGGCTGGTGGCTCCTTGTCCCTGTCGCTCTCCCTCCCTTGCTGCGGCTCTTCGTCCGAATCGTCGACTGCCTTCTGCTGCTGCTGCTGCTTCTCCTTGAGCTTCGCTGGCCGCTTGATGGACTTGCGCAGCCTCTTGATGTTTTTGCGGATAGCCGACTTCGGTGGAGGGGTTTGAGGTGTGCTCGATGCCGCCTCCCCCGCACCCTTCTCCTCCTTGCTGCGACCTTTCTGGAGACTGTGAAGGGTGTTGGGGAAGCTGGGAAGCTTTTGGAACAGCTGTTTATAGCTGCTGCGACGCGGCGAAGCCTCCCGATCCGGCTGCTCCTCGCGCTCCCGCTGCACCTCCTGCTCTTCCATTTGCAGCGGCGGCTGTCGGACCTTGGCGAATCGCGTGGCTGCAATGCCCGGCTTCCTGCTTCTCGCAGGCAGTGGTGGTGTGCCCTCCATTCCGCTCTCATCTCCACTCTGCTCGGCCACGCTGCGCGGCTTCTGGGTCTTCGTGCGCTCCTCCGCCTGTCCGGCCTCTCGGTCGGGACTGTTCTGTCCGGATCTAGCGAGCGTCTTGAATCGAATGTCGTAGTTGTCGGCTATCTCCCGATCCCTGCGCGCCAGTGCCCGCCGCTCCGATCGCAGCTCGGCCTCGTACTGCTCCACGTAGCGGTCCACCTCGATGTCGTCCCGCCTCAGGATCGTCTGCTTGGTGAACAGATGCTTCAGCCGAAGCTCGCTGAGGCTCTTGTAGCCCCTCTGGATGCGCTGCGTCAGAGTCGGGGGCTGGCCTCCACCTTCCACTGGGGCTGACGGAATCTTAACGGGGCTAATGGGTCGCGAGGCACGGTCCCCGACTCCGCTGTCCGGTGCATAATAATCGTCATCCAGACTCCCCGCACTTCGATAGGTGCTTGGCTGTCTGTGTCCTGTTCCTTGGCCCATTCCCATTCCCATGCCCGTGCCCACCTCCTGCTGCTGCTCCTCGTACATCAACGAGCTGATGGTGGAGATCCTCTGGGGTGTGCGGTTGATGAACTGCTGCGACTGTTGTGGTAGCGGCAACGGCAGCGTGCACATTCCTCCGCCGTCGACTCCTTTGACTGCTGCTCCCCCGGCCCCATCCTTGTTACTGTTGCTGCTGTGGTTTCTCCTGGAGCTGCGGAAGACCTTGCGACCGCGGAGCTTGGGGAGCGATTTCGGGAGCTTCAGTTGCGGCAGCGAGGGCAGCGAGGGCAGCGAAGGCAGCGAAGGCAGCGAAGGCAGCTTGGCTGCGGAGGAGAAGAAATAATAATAAAATAAATGAACGTGAACTTTTTTGGAACCAACTCTGGAAACAGATTCCGGGTGCACAAGAAATAATAAATACACCAATTGATTGCATCAGGAAAAAACTCCACTTCGATTTTTGCTTGATTCTCCGCGGTGCTTCAATTCTCTTTTGGGCCATCGTTCGCCTCTTACCGCGCCCCTGCCGCCTGCTGGCTTCACCGGAGTCGGATCCCCGAATCCAAGAACGAAATACACAGTCCTTCGCGAGGCGCAGAAAAAAACTACTTTTCGGTCCGCTTAGTCCTGGCAATTTGCTAGTCTTTGATATTATCCATACGAACTGCATTCGAGCTGATCAAACTCCCACGAGATGAACTAGTTCTTTAAAAATTATAGTGCTTAATAATAGTCTCCGATATTAGAGGCTGCTGCCTTTAAACTTGAGCTATTTAGGAAAAAAAAAACTAAATTGAAAACTATTCAAATATTCTATGGGCTTCCATCCTGATCCTAGCTCGAATTTGTGGGAAATGTTGTGGAAAACTAGCACTCACCTCTCAGGCGATCCACATCGAGACGCTGGCAGAGATTACGAAGGTCCATTGACCCACCGCCGCCGATGCCGCGTGCGGTAGTGGAGTGGCCCGGATTATGCAGATTCTGTGGATTCCTTTCGCAGCCCAAGTCGGAAGAGGAGTTCCCTTTCAATACCGATTCCGATTGCACTTGCTGCAGCTGGTCGTGATGATGATAGTGATGGAACTGTTGGTGGCTCATAGCACCCTCGCCTGCAACTCCGACCCCACCGAGAACTCCGAAAGCGACAACAACAAAACCGTCACCGACAGCGACAGCGACAACGACAACGATAACGGCGAAAACTGGTAACGTCCGTTGCAGTTCAGCATTTTAGCCAGTTTGAAGCTCCGGCGGACAGCATTGGCTCTGGCCCCAAAGCCACACACCGGGTTGCACCCAATTTCAATGGGAAACTGCTAATTAAATTAACGCGCGGACTGGCTGACAGCGGACAGACAGCCAGCCAGACAGACAGAGAACCCTTCTCCAGGTCGGTCTTCATTCCCCTGCTCTCCTCCATCCGCCCCATCGGTGCTCGGTATTCGAGGTTCGGTATTCGGTGTTCTGTAGTCGGTTTCGGGGTTCGGTGTTCGGTGTTCGGTATTCGGTTTCGTATTCCCGCTAACTGGCGTGGCCTCTGGCACCATTTCTAATTTCCATTTTCCCTAGACCCTGTCACCAGTTCGGCCCATGGAAACCAGGTCTATGATGACGCCCCCTCTGGCATTTGGGCATTTGTTATCCATCGACTATTGCTATGGCATTTGTTGCACTTGATTCTATGCTCAGCCTGGGGGGGGGGGGGCTTGGGTTTTCCTTGTGGTGCATATTCGTATTTCCAATGCCTCGCGCAGTTCTCTTAATCACTTCCTCCGTCATCGTACCGTCGTACTGTTATGTTCAAAACCAAGGCAAATATCGCTGAAAAGTAATAAATAATCGATCAATCGATTTTGAGCAGTGCGTCGGAATTCGATATCGAATTCTGTCTCTCTCTGTAAAATACGAGATTCCGTTGTCTTCTTTTCGATTTACCGTTTGTCCTTGCCCCCTGTCTGTCCCATTGCTGTGCATGTTTTTTTTTTTTAGTGAGGGAGCGCGTAGGGAAGGACGACTCGCTCAGAGAGGATTAGAAGGGACGAGATGGTGAGAGAACGCGCTCAGCATGGACATATGTATGTATGTACATATGTAGACATGTACATATACATATGTATATGTAGTGTATATACATATGTTTGAACGCATGAATCTGACTATCAGTAATCGTAGTCTCGAGGCTCGTGTTCCTCGACTCAATCGTTCTATTTAACAGCTGATTTGCCAATACAAAATACAAAATATGCCATGAATAAATCCACGCTTCAATGATCCCTCGACTGGAGCCTAGCGCCCACCGCCTTAGGAATTGCATGCCGGATGCAAATAGGGTTGGGTGAATACCAGATTGCGATTCATTCCTTGGACCGAATCACGACTGGTGAGAATCAAGTGGTCCGCTAACTCTCTTTCGGGTCTAATGTCGCGCCTGTCACTACTACACACTACATACATACATAGAGATACATAGGTATATGTACATACATAGATATGTGGAAGCTGTTTTGTGTTGTTTTTGTATACCCTTCTGCTGCGCTGCGCTGCGCTGCTGTGACAGGCAAACGAGTCGTACTCGTAGTCGTTACGCTGCTGGAGCGGACAACGTTGTATAATTTGATCATAGTTTGAATCATATTAGACAATTGCATTACTCATTACTCATCTCTCTCTGTTCTCTCTTTTCTCTTTTCAGCCACACAGACATGCTAAACTTTTATGTCCTGCCCCATGCCCCTCAGCACACCCACACCTTACTCTCTCGCTCGTACGCGTCGCCTCGCCTCGTCTCGTCTCGTCTCGTTTCGCATTGAAAAGTGTTAAGTTCTGGAAATCATTATCAACAGTATAATAATTTTATTTTCAGTGCCACAAAGAGAAAAGATAAAAGCTCGACGTGGATGCAATTTCATTAGTGTGTAAATTGTGCGAGATCTAAGAGTCGAAGCAGAGCAGGAAAAGGAGAAGGAGAAGACACACCACCCGCAACTACAACCACAACCACATCCACAACCACAGCCACAGCCACAGTCTCTACTCTCCACCACACACTCGCAACACACACGCGAAGAAAGAGAGAGAGGGAGCGGCTCGAAAATGCGGCGGCAGTCAACGATGCTGGCCGCGATATTGCTAGCTGCCTTTTTGGGCAGTGCAACTGCAAGAAGTAAGTCCACAGCAACGAAGGGGATGCGGGGGGATGGGGATCTGCACTGAGACCCCTAGTCCCATCTACCCCATGCACATACAGTGGCGGCGAAAAAAATAGCACTGCTAGGTTCAACAGTCTTTGTTGTTTCAAAACATGACCACTGTCCAACATTTCGTGCACAAAAATGTAATATTAAATGGGTTTACATGTCTCCTCTCCTAACAGTTCTTATTTTCTTAGGCTTACGTCGATTGTTACAAGAAAGTTACCAAATTAATGTAGTTATGGGTCTTGGAAAGCACTGCAGTGAAGAAAGAATCAAAGGATCAAGGATCGAAACATTCATTTCAAAACACAAGTCCTATGCTAAGGTCGGGCAAATTGTCGGTTTAAAATATGTTTCCAACAAGAAACTTGTGGAAGAAAGGCCGCATATCTCCATTTCTGGCAAAACTTTTGCTTCGTGAGAGCAAGGACCAATTTAAAAAAGTATCTTAACAAATCGCCAAGAACCGGGAAAGTTAGAGATCTTGTTACAAGAACGTAAAATAGATGCCCGCAGTCCGGAAGGGTATGGGGCAAAGAAAAAATTTAAAAATATGTGGCTAATGCGGAACCAAAGAACCATAAAGATCCTTGGGGTATCCTGCATGGTTCGTGGATTAATATCCCAGGGGAAAGATGCGAAAGTTAGGTGAACTTTAATGCCGAGTTACAACATAACTACAACCTTTAATATTACAACTAATACTCCATTTTTTACTCAAATTTTTAAAACGTTTCTTTGGCTTTTATAGTTTTTGGATAAAATCCATTGTTTAAACAAAAACCGTCAGTACAGACACATTAGCCCCATGGTGCTATTTTTTCGCCGCAGCTGTACTTATGTACATATGTATGTAATTTTTAGGTTAAATAAACTGGTCGACAATACTTGATCCTGAAACTGGAACTTCTGATGAGATCTTCGTAGTTGAAAATACCAAATTTATACGTCTTTATTTTCCACACGACAACAATCAGCACTAATCAAAAGTCAGTAAAAAGAAAAAGGAACTTTTCCCTTGCGTTCATTTGGAAATTAAATTTGACATTCCCTTCGTTCGTGCGCCAACCTCCGATATGAGTAGAATATTGGGCCACAACGCTAAAACACTTTTTTATATAATGGAGAGATATAAATGTATTTCGTTCACATCTCGGAGAGTAGCTCGATGCGGAAGCCCCACAGCCCCACAGCCCTACAGCCCCACAGCCCTGCCTGTCCCCCTTGCAGGTCTGGCTAGCATTCAAAACTAAGCATTCAATAGTTCTCAAGAGCTAAAAATAATATCAAACCTAATTTAAAATTGATGCGACCAATTAGTGGCATGATCCCAGTGCTCATCAATCTTTCCTCCTGCTCTACCCCAACTCAGCCAACTCCCCGCCACGGATCATCAAGCAGCCGGCACCCGGCGAGCTTCTCTTCAAGGTGGCGCAGCAGAATAAGGAGAGCGACAATCCATTTATTATCGAGTGCGAGGCCGATGGACAGCCCGAGCCAGAGTAAGTACCCGTACAAATACATATACTAAAAGATTTGATACAATCTAAAAATATCTAAAATGGGCCAATAAACGAGCGGAGTCGTCGCAAATTCAATGGAATCAGTTCATACATTTTCGGTATACATTTATTGGTACATTTGGTACTATCCTCTATCCCCTTTCCCCGATTCACCCGATTCCGCCGATTCACGTAAATCAAATTTAAGCAGTCTTCTGACCGAAATATTCCCCCTTCAGATCTGAATAAAAAACGTTTTCGTTTTTTGTTTGTTTACTTTCCGGCCTTGTTTCTTACGAAATATTTTAGTCGTCACAAAGTATTTCGAATTTATTATAGAACCGAGGAAGCAGCATTTGGCTCAGAATTTGATACAGCTTGTCCTAAAAGAATAAGGAATTGTTGAGCGAAGCCAAATGGAATGCAATCGAGCGGGAACGTTGTGAGTTGCTGCTGCGACCGCAACTCTACATTTATACCCGATACTTAGTCAGCATGGCTCTCCTCCGCCAAACGGCGCTAACATTGAACGACACGACAAAGGGTGCGTTGGCGAGAGACAGACAATCAGCCAGTACGTGTCGGGGGGCGCAGCATAGCCACTGAAAATTGATTTGTATAATTACATATATGTACATATGTAACAATCGCAGGCTCTGATGCTCTTATTATGAAGCTATAAAGGAAGGTATGAAAAGAATTCAGGGGTATAACAAATGATAATGTATGGGGATGTACATAGGTACATATGTACATATGTACATTCGAGTATGTAACAGCCAGATGGAATCATTTCCAACCCCATTAAGAATTCTTGATCATTATGATATGATTACGATGATCATTATGATTGATATAGATAGTATGTATCTCTTTCCCAGAGTGGTCTAGCACCATGTAGGGGTGATCTCTCCTCCCGAAGGGTAAACTCTTTGTGTTCTATAACCTTAAACACCGCATACGCTTCAACCTTTGAGGTGTATCTAAAATTCGATGAGCTAACCAATATTAAGATCCCACAAAATGCTGTACATATATACATACATATGTATGTACATATGTCAATTTTCGGTCAGCTTTTGTGCTGGAAAGGAAGCTATGCCGAAACCTAATCTGGCGTCGTGAGTAATGTCTGAGCCATGTTTATGCGGCCAATTTGAACCTGTTTCCTAAACTCAAATAAAACACGTTTCGTCGCCGCCGCGTTACGATTAGTTTCGTTTCGTTTCTTTCTGATTTGTTGTACTTTTTGTACTTTTTTACTTTGACTTTGAGTTTTGGCCGTGCACTTGGGTCCATTCATTGCACTGAGTCATCTCCATCTACATCACCATTTGAAATGCGGAATTCAAAGTTATTCGTACGTACATATGTATGTATGTATGTGCACACATATTTGTCTACTATATTCTGGACATCAAGTGATGACCTCATTGTCAAAATAAAATGAAAGAATGACTAAATGTGGATGTGGATGTGGCGAGAAGATGTGGCGTCGGGGCAAAAGAAAAGCGGCGTGACGAGCCATGAAAATATTTATAAAGCGTCTCTGAAATGTTTACGAGGGAAAATGTAAAAACATGGGATGGTTTTCCCATCGGAGCTGCTTCTATGACACTCGCTTTAAGCTGTACTGAAGGCGAACTAAATAGCCCCACATTTCGGAGATTTAGAGCATTGTCTTAAACATAAGCATGTACCCTATGTACATATGTACATTATTTCAAAGTAAACCTCACTTCGGAACTGAGAGAGATTAGCAGATAATCAATCGATCTGTCGCGTCATACTGCTCGGATAGGCAATGCTTCCGAAGAAGAAATAAAATAGAGTTAGCGAAGAAAGGAGTAGTCTTGACATATTTATTCGAGTGCTCAATGTCGAATATTTCCCTCCAGCTCTCTGTCGAGAAACTGTCATACAGGCAGAAAGAGGCAGAGAGTAGTGTCAGACGAAGCGCCTCGGCAGCAGCTCTGCTGTAATAGCGGGCGTCGCATCGTCAGCAGCAGCAGCAGCAGCAACAGATGGCCAAATGCCAGGCCAGACAGGCGCTGCTACCGTCACCAGCAGCGACACAGGCACAGAAGTTGGCAATGTGTGAGGTGTAGAAGAAAGCAGAGGAAAACGCAGCAGCAGCAGCAGCAGCAGCAGCAGCAGAACCAGAACATGATAATGGGGAAACATGAGAAAATGCTGTTGTTTTATTTTTACACTACCATCCATACATACATATGTATGTACATATGTATGTATGTATGTAGGTCTGAAATGGGTTAATAGTGGGAAATGTGTGCGTTTTTCCCGCGTACACTCCGCTCTCTTCGGATGGAAGGCAGCAAGTGGTTAATTTAGCTGGACAAGAGTACTCTTTTACGGGAACGGAAGAACGGGCACATGTGCGCTGGGATGGACACACAGGTAGTGGTAGACTGAGGTAAAGAGAGGATCAGGAGCAGCGGTTCGGGTACGGGGGCGGGTAGGGGGGCAACCACTATGAAACCTGTTTGACTGGATGGTCAAGCACGCTGAGAATATTAACGAAGCAAGAAAAATAAACAGATCTACACCTAAAATGAGCCAAGCCCCGAGCATTACGTAATACCATCTAGAGTTTTGGCATTTTACCGAAAATTAAGCAGTCACAGCTACACGTTTTAATCCAAGGATTTCGATACATACATATGTATGTACATGCATACATAAAAACATACAATCTCTCTATATATTTGGCAATGTTTGTAATAGGCATTTCACTCAAAACAAAAAAAAAACAAAAACAAGCGAGAACGTTGTGCGTCGTGATCCCAAGAGTCTGGATACAAAATATGGTTTCTCCAGCTCTTATAGTCTCTGAGATCTAGGCGCTCATCGGGACGGACAGACAGACGTGGATCAATCGACTCGGCAATTGAGGCTGATCAAGAATATATACACTTTATGTGGTCGGAAACGCTTCCTTCTGGGCGTTACATCCATTTTCACCACAAACCTAATACACCCCAATACTGCCTTTGAGTATCGGGTAAAAAAAAAACACCAAATATCTTCCGCCGAAGAGAGCAAAGCAGAGCAGAGCAGTCGGTAAGGCAGGTAATGTGGTAACAGTGGGGCTTACATCAGCAGTGCTTCGTCAAAGTCGCGCTTAGGTCTCTTCTCTCCCTCTCTGTTCTCCGCTCAAAAGCTTTTCGAGCACATCGCTCTCTCTCTCTCTCCCCCTCTCTCTCTATTTCTCTCTCTCCTCTTATGTACGAGTATGTATACGGTATACGCCTCTGTGGTTCAGCGTGACATACTTTTATTGTTGTCGGTGGCTGCCTTTTCCCACCTCTGCTGCAACGCTGCCACTGCCTCTGCCGCTGCCACTGCCTCTGCCTCTGCCACTGCCACTGCTGCTGCAAATGTACAAAGCAATGCGTGCAGAGTTATTTTTAACTTTCAACCCAAAGCAACAACAAAATCATGAGAATGATGATGATATTTAGCTCTTTTTACGTTACTTTTTTTTAGCCCACCGATACTAATGATGTTATTTGTTCTCTATCTCTCTCTCTATCTCTTTATTTCTCTCTCGTAGTAGTTGAAGTAGTAGTAGTAGTAGTTCTGTAGGTTGCTGCAGTGTGAGTCATTCAGATTTTCATCTGCGGGTGGACGTGGACGTGGCTGTAACCCTAAATGAGTGTCATTTGCATCCAAGAAGTATGGATCGTTGGGGATTAAATCAGTAGAAAACACTAAGAAACTAAGTTCTGCCTCTGCTGCCTCACACGCACAAACGCAGATAAACACCTACTGATGTATCGTAGGATGATTAATGCGAATGGGTGTTGCCTGAATCGAAAACCCTCACTTTCTGTCTCTCCTACAGTCTTAAGAATTTCCGCGTTTCTCGCGGGGCCATCGTTGCGTATTACTTTCCCTCTTTCAAGTGGAACCAGTTCAACGGTTCCAATCAAAGACTGGATGTTCAATCGAACTAGTTCAAAACTCAGTAGTAAGCGCAACATCTTTCTCATATACTACATGCATACATACATATGTACATATGTACAACCCCCAATAGCGCAAGTTTTCTCCCTTTTAATACCCGGTACTCGAAGAGTATACGGGTATATTCGATTTTTGGACGAAGTGGATGTGTGTAATATATACAAATATAAAAATACAAATATACATACATACATACATAAGCATATACATTCTTGATCAGCATCAATAGCCAAAGACTATAGGAGCAGGAGCAACCAGTATCTTGTGATATCACACTGTTACAAGTGTATTTCAAAATTGTACCCCGCCGGCATCCTCCCCTAACAGAGAACGAAAATCTGTGGCATCCAAAATGATGAATAACCGAAATTGGAAACCCGAAACGCAGAATCGTAGAAAATTACCATATCTACCAAACTGCAGAATCTGAACAAGATGGGATCATTATTGTAGCCAGAAGAAATAAATTGAGTTGCATTCATTCTCTGACTCTCTCCCACACTCTTCGTTGTACAGTGTGCGCCCTCTGGCGAGAGGAAAATGGCTGGTGCTGGTACTAGAATATAAACGAGGGGGAACGTTGTGAGTTGCTGCGGACACCGCAACTCTACAGTTATACCCGATACTAAGTCAGTATGGCTTTCCTCCGGCAGACGCCGCTAATATTAAACGACACGACAAAGAGTGCGTGCGAGAGAGACAGAAAATCAGTCTGAGCGTGATGTCACGCGCTGCGTAGCCACTGCAAATTGATTTGTTCCTTTTGGCTACAAAAATTATCTGATCTGATCCAGATTCAGCAATCTGATAGATATGGTCGTTATCTATGATTCCCCATTTTTAGTTTTCTCGAATCTGCAATATTGTGGATGCAACAGATTTTCGTCCTTTGTGGGGGCGGAAGGGGGTGGGGCGAAATTTTGAGATACACGTTTTATAGTGAGATCTAAGAGAAGTGCGGATTCCAAATTTGGTTACTCTAGCGTTAATAGTCTTTGAGATTTGTGAATATC